CTCCCTCACTCAAACAAAACAGATTAAATTACCTTACCCAAAAAACTCTTCAAAATAACTTTTAAAACACTCAAAACTGAAAATAACTTACAAAGAAAAAAAGCAATTAGCAAAATTATCAATAAATGAATAACAAATCTCCAAGAAAATACAAAAATTATGATTAAACAAATTCTCAATCACAAAAATCCACATGCCTTCTTCACAAAAATTATTGATCCAATTAACAAAGAAGTTATAACAGACCCTACTCAAATCTATTAAACAATTATAGACCATTACAAAAAAGTTTTTTATAAACAAATAATTGATAATTAACTTCTCTGCAAATGGGAAAAACATTATATTCCACTCAACAATATTAATTCTTCAATTTACAACACACTAATAAGTCCCATTACTGAATATAAAATCATAAAAACAATTAACTCACTTTCTAACAACAAGGCACCTGGCTTCTCTAAAATCACATACTTTTTCATAAAGCAAACTTAAAAAACACTTCTTTCTTATCTTCATACAATCTTTAACCAAATACTTTCCACTCAAGAAATCCCAACAGACTGGAAAAACTACCACATATTTTCCATTAGCAAAAAACTTCAATGGAAATACAACATATAAGAAATGAGACCTATAGTACTAGTCGACTTATTTCGAAAAATTCTAATCAAAATATTAACCAAAAGACTCAGCCTTATTTTAACAAAACATAATAGTCTTCAAAAATCCAACTTTGCAAGTCTTTCTAACCAAAGCACTTTCGAACCAATACAAATTCTCAATTCAATCTATAACTCCAAAAAACTTACACAAAAGGAATTATGGATCCTATCACTTGACATCAGTGCAGCTTTCGACTCAATGAACTTGGACATGCTAAAAAAATCAACGAAAAGAATACACCTATCAGAAACCTTTAACTCTCTAACTAGCAACATCCTCACAAACTGCACATGTCAAATAATAACAGACCTCGGCCTCACCCAACAAATTATAATCCCTAATGAAATTGATCAAAGAAAAACACTATTACCTCTTTGGTGAATTATCTTTTACGACCCATTAATCTCAGCCTTAACACAACAACCATTAAACTTAAAGCATAATACCATAGTATACATGGATGACCTCGATCTTCTTGCGATTTCAAAATTTGAAATCCAAAACAATCTAAATATTGCAACAGAATTTTTCCAACTTAACAATATCAAAGCTAATCCAATAAAAACCAAACTACTAGTCATAAACAGCAAAACCCCAACAAAAAAATCTTTCAAGGAACAATATCAATTCTCCTATCAGCAAAACAGGAACCAATAAGAATATTGGGCATTTGGATTTCTGAGCACAGTATTCTCACACCTAACTGTGACAAAATTCTTGAAGAAATAAAAATAATCTCTCAATCACTCAAATCTAAATACATGACAGGCCACATGGCATCATATATCTATAACAAAGTTCTCCTTTCATGCATAGAATAAAAACTTCAAACAACCTTTTTCACGTTAAACATGCTCAAAAATCTTCAAAGGAAAATTGACTCAACAATCAAACATAAATTCAATATCAAAAAAACTCTTCCCCAATCCTGGTATTGCAACTCTCATATCTTCAATATCAAATCAATATCTGATCTGCAATCAGAAGTCTTAATCTCCAACCTATAATACTCACTCTCCAATCCTGCTATCAAATATAGTAAGGAAGAGGAAATTCTCGCTATATAAACATAAAACTGTCAACCTCACTGTATCTTTCAAAATCAACAAACATTCAAACACCTACACAATACAACTTGCTAAAAACTACAATATCTTATTTTGTTCTGATACTAACTGTTCTTACAAACTTTCAGAAGAAAACACATCTATTCACCAACTTCTTTCACATCATCCAAACTGGTTAACATTTGCAAAATAACTCTCCAAAAAACATATCTATTATATCAAACAACTATTGCAATACAACAATAACAGCCTCACAAACTGGCATCACATCTCAGCCAGACTGGAATTCAATACTCACAGAAAAATACTCCTTTGGTATAAACTACTTTCATAACAAAACTTTCAACAAATCAGTACAACTCCAATCAAACCAAACAAAAAAAGAAAATAACTAGCATCTCTTATCAACAACAAAATAATTATAGAAAAAAAAATTACAAATATAACTAATATTTTTATCAATTACTGGATCTACAACAACTTAGATCCCAACAGATCAATAACACTTTCCAAATGCCAAGGCTGCTTACAAAACATTCAAACAAGCACTCACAATTGCCAACTTCTAGTTTCTATAAACTCATCCAATCTCTTTATCAGACCTCAACCAAATAATATAGTCAAAACAAAAGCAACCCAAAATGATCTTTTCCAAACACTTTCTATAAAACCACCTCTTAACAATTTACAAATTTTGATCTATTCAAACCTACACAAGTTATTAATTCAAAAATACATTTCATCAACCTCACAATCCACTATCAACTTACTTTCACAATATAATGATACTCCTCTCAAAATTTTATTAACATACAAAAAACAAACTGGCACCATATCAGTAACTTGAAATTTCATCCAACACCACAAATCATATACAACCAATATCAAATCCAACACTTACTTTTCACTTCTTCATACAATAATCATAATCTTTCTATCTAACAAATTAAAAGAATACTACTTCTTCACTAAACATTCAAAATTAAATCGAAAAACTTTTTCTCCATCACCTATTAACCATAGAAAAAAATGTAAAATCCCATACTTTACTACTATCTCAAATATTCACAACATAATACAAACCCTCCAAATCTCTTACACTTTTTTCAAACCCACATTCACAATACAAAAAACACAATCAACTAACTCCAAACTATCATAAATCAATATAATCGACTTTTTACCAATACACTTTACACTCACCAACATAGAAAAAAATTCCATTTCACCAACAAGGCAATATATCAAACAAATAAACAAAACTGTCTATTCTACAGAAATAATCTATTCCCATTATGCTCAAACAACATTCAAACTAGACCTTTCACTCCTAACTAATACCCTAACTTTCCTCAAAAACACACCAATACCAACAAACCAATACCAATCCAAAATCCACAACTTTTGTCTCAAAATTCTTTCCAATATACTACATCACACTACTACATATCTATACAAATAATATATGTTCATGCTGTAACATCCTTCCAGAAACCACACATCACATCTGGCTTTGCAAACACAATTTAACCACAATCAAAAAAATATTATCTGATACTTAACTACTACTTGCAAAAAAATTTAAAAACAACAAAAACTTCAATCTTTACCTGGTTCAAAAAACAATCATTATCATCATCCAACTAATTAACTTCGCAATAGGTACATTACAACTCAAAAATCTTTTTAACAACCTTCAACCAACACAACATGATCTCAAAATCCTTAACAAAATACAAAATGAAACATTGAACTCATCTATCAACACATTTGGATCCCAAGAAACAAAGATATAATTACAGAGGAAAACTTCCTCAACATATTTCAAAACATCAAATATAGAAGAAACAATAATAACAAACAAAACAAAAACTCAACTACCTGTAACAAAATATAAAAAAACAACTTATCAAGCAATAACAACCAAACTCACCAATATAAACTAATTGATATTACACTTAAACTTTTTTCTGAGACTCTATTCATACCCCTATAGGATAGAATAAATTATTAGAAAGACATTAGCCCTTCAAGATTAGATAGTTTCTCTCCTTTTCCCTGCTCAAGTGTTTTTTACCAGAGATATAACTAATTGAGTGGTAGACTGACATGTATAGCAATGTATCTTACATCTTAATATTAATCATGTAACAATTTTATTTTACTATATTAATAAAAATCGTAAGAAATGTTTTACTTAACATTAAAAAAAAAAACTAAATTATAAAAAAAATTAAAAAATTAAATTAATACTTTGATTTATTTATTGATATCAAATATTAAAAAAAATTATTTATAATTATACACATTAATTTAATTACTTGTTAAATGTTAAATATTAATTAATAATTATTATTTAGATAAAAAAATTTGTTTTCAATTGTCTTATAATTATTAGTTTAATAATTTTCTTGCCATCAGTTTTTTGTTTTATACCGATCTTTGAAATTGGATTGGCATAAGAAAATAAAAAAATTTTTTGTAATAAATCTTTTTTTCAATATAGACTTTAATAAGAATTATATTTATTCATTTTCCTTATTTGTCAATAAATTAAAAGCATGCGATTATACTTTTTTTATGCTCAAATAAACACGTGAAGATTGTTTTTGTATTAACCAATAAAATTAAATTATGAAATCAAAAGTCACATGAAAAATTGTTATATTTTTAAATAAGCTGATATCCCGACTAATAATAGACTCGACTTCACATGCTACTGTATATGTGCCATAAACAAAATCAATAATTACAGTAATCCAATTATCAAAGAATACGAATATAGTTAAAAACTTATCTGGTATAATTTAATTTAGGTTGTTCTGAATTAAACCTTCCCTAAAAGTCAACGACTGCCATAACTATAATATTGTGTTTAATTAAAATCCCCATATCGATATGATTTCCGAGAATTTGCACAATAAAGTTTGAAGTTTTGTTAATTAAATCAACGGCAATAATTTTTAGCAAGCAATGTTTCAAGTGCGCACTATTCGTTTTATTTTTATAGAGGAAGTCATTTACTATTACGGTAGTCACCGAACTAAATAACTAAATATAGTAAATATGTTTCTTTTTAATATAACGTATCTACACGTTAAAGATGGACATATCAATTTCGAACTCTTGGAAGAGAAAATATCATAAAAAATAGGATTATGTTCAAATTTCTGAAAAAACAAGGTTCGATAAATAATTTTTTAATTAAATTGGTTTAATTTCATCCTGACTTCCGATATTTACAGGTGGATTATTAATTTTGCACAGCCGACGAACCCTTGAAACATAAAGAAGGTTCGAGTCATGAAAAACCTGAGATTGCATATAACACTACTGGTAAAAATATTTTGGTCGGTTGCATTTAAATAAATCGTATTTCATGAGTAATTTTATCTAAATTTTGCACCCAAAAAGACGAACCTCCCGAAAAATATGATGCAATTTCTCTCAACGTTAGAAGTAAGCTTTTGCTATTATAAATTGCCATTGACAATGTTTTCATTCTAAGTGCAGCATTTTCTATCGTAGAGATTTCAAGTATAAGTCGAGGGAAGTCATTAATAGAAGATCTGAAAATTCTATTAAAAGATCAGAAGTATAGCGATCTGGAAATAATATGTAATGATAATGTCGTTCTCTATGGATGCAAAGCCTTTCTTGCCATCCGTTCGGAAACCTGGGAACAACTTCTTTTCAATAAAAACAATGTCTTATCCGAGAATAAGATTTCGTTTTCAAAGATTAACTCATCCGCCATGAAGAATATTCTTGAATACATTCATATGGGAGGATTATCGGAAAAGTCACTAACGGTTGAAAATGCGATCGAGACATTCGCTGCCGCTGAATACTTTCAACTTGATGCCCTGCTGAAAAATCACATCAATAAATTTTTGGATAAAATTTGTAATGACGATGCATCTGATAACAATAACGAGTCTCCTGAACTGTTATCAAAAGTCGTCAAAATGAATTCCTCTTTCGCAGGAAGTAAGCTAATGGACATGTTGATTGATTCAGTGTCAAGGATCTCTTTGGATAATTTGGATTTTGGCAGATTACCATTTGAAACATTTCAAGTTTTACTTGCAAAAACTCGGAACAACCATAAACTGTTTGCATCCAGTGAATATTCAGTATTGCGTTATTCAATTTTACTGTCTGCTAAGGAAGTGTCAAACGAATCATTTTCTATCTTAAAAGAAAGGTTACCAACATGGAATGAGCTTTGCAATAACGGTTTTATTCCGATAAATAAAGATTTTAAATTCACGGACGACGTCTCAAGAATCTCTAAAAGCTTAGAGCCATTAGTTGATATGATCGACCTTACCTACATTGATGGAAAAGTCTTGGCAGATTTATTTGATCCATTGAATTTAATTTCAAAAGATAAATTAATGAGCGCCTACAAAGTTCATCTAAGAGGAAGCATATTACCAAAATTTCGTGGAATACAAAATTCTCAAATAATTTCTTCAAAAGACGTCCGATGGGATATACACGAATGTGATCAAAATATTAATCTGGATAACGACAGATATGTAGCGTCTATTGACTCTAACATAGATTACATTCAAAGAGCAAAAACAAACTATGTGTTAACCAGCGGAACTCACGAGTGTAAATTCATAATTGAAAAACTAGACAAGAGTGTATGGATTGGAGTTTGCTCTGATGATTGTAGACTAGCGGAGAACAATGAATGGACTTTGGGATCAGACGGTTTGTGCCATCACAATAATGAAAGTAGTAAGTATTTGTTAAAAGAAATTGTAGAGGGAACTAAGGTTACTGTGCATGTGGATATGGATAAGAAGACCTGCGCGTTTTCTATTAATGGAAAGAGACATTCCCCAGTTTCCTCGTGGGAAGAACTCTCATCAAGGCTTCGCTTCGTAGCTTTGTTGCATGGATCAAGTCAAGTTAGAATTCAAGCGGATGGAAAAATAAAAACTCGAGCGGATAGGAAAGAGAAAATCCAAGTAGATAAGAAGAAAGTTCAGGCGGATAATAAAGAGAAAGTTCAAGAGGATAAGAAAGAAAAAATTCAAGATAAGAGAGAGAAAGTTCAAGCGGATAAGAAAGAGAGAATTCAAGAAGATAAGAAAGAGGAAGTTCAAGAGGATAAGAAAGAGGAAGTTCAAGGAGATGAAAAAGAAGCTCTAATGAAATTTTAGATCAACTATTCCGTTAAAAATAGTTTGCATCCACATGTGTAGTTCAATTGTTTATTATCTTTATTATTACTGTATTGTCTAAAAAAAATAAAATAAAATAAGCTCATTATAAACAAAATATGACACATTCCTTTATTATCAACACTAATATATTACAGTTGAAATTTCTTTTTTTCTAACTTACTGTAAATAACTTTCACATTATTGCTTGTTTTTCCATTCAATTTTAAAGATTTATTTGATAGGTTGAAAATTATTAAATTGTGATTAATTTATTATTACAAATAAACAATAAATGAATAATTATTTGAACCAAAAATTTTCAGGATACAAATTTATTACCCCATTAATTAAGAGTTGTATATTATGGAATATTCATATCAAGATATGAAAAAACATATTATCTAGTTACAGAAACCAGAAGACATTACATATAAATATTAATTGGAATATAACTTATATAAATTCTAAAATATTATTTATTTATTTTATTATCATTATATTATAATATTTATTATAAATATATATATTGTCACAGGGCAATTGGTGAGTCTGTTACTATATCAGTTCTCAGCTTGCATCACATCTCATGAAAAATAAATAAACTAAAGGCTTTAACTCCTAAGACGGTTTTAATTTGACCAGCATAACTTCATCCAATTAGTGAACTACTTTTAAACTTTATGTTTTGCCAATTTCTTTTGGCAAATCCAGTTTTATCTTGTTCATGTAATACAAGTTATAGACAACTCAGGTATCAATTAGTTACTTAACAAGTTGAAGCTTAAACCTTCTTTAATATTTTTCTTAGGGCATATACTGTATCTTATCAAGTCATTTGCCAATAAATTTGAATATAATTGTAGGATTTGACATTTATTATTCTTTTTGACTTTTTTATCATGTTTATATAACTACTTAAATATGATATTCGATAATTTTTTTAATCAAATAATATTACTTTAGAGAAACCCCAAAAGAAATAACATTATGGCAAGAGTCGTTGAATAATTATTGTTAGAGATTTATTGTAGTGACACAGTGGTTAGATAAGGTAGAAAGAGTGTGGATTTGACATGTGATTTTGTGGTAATTATTTTAAGGATAAATATTTATTAGAAAGTCAGGAAATATTGAAATTTAAATTACAAGAAATAACAATAAGACGCGACATTGGTCACGTGATTTACAGCTGCGACGGGCACCGTGAGAAACATGTTCTTGGTTAGCGGTGCACAATTATCTAATTATTAGGGAAGAGAAGGGATTGTGAAAAATAATTATGTAAGTTAGACATGGCTTCGCCAAAATCTTCTATTGTTCTTGTAAGAATAGCCGCTATAAACAAAAAGAAGTATAAAAATGATAATTAAAAGTTAATAAAGGAATAACAACCCAACTTTTACAAAAAGTACTCGACCAAATCAACACATCTCATCATCTTTTAATTAAACTTACCCTGTCCGCAGCTACGCGAAGTCTTGCCATCCTTAGCGACAGACTCGCCGTTCATCCCCTTTATACACAGGTGTTGCATTCGTTTTGGAGGCCGTTATGGCGTTAGTACTGTTGTTTTGAAAAAAATATCAAAAATTATTAATTCGGATTATATTTTATTTTTAGATATCGTAACTTTATTAATAATACAGTATAACATTACAGTATATTCCGTAACGTAATATTTAATTTGAGTAGGTAATCTATACTACGATACTACAACTAAAAGATATTCCGATAATTAATAAGCTCACTATCACACTAAAAAACATTTCTTTTCTACAATTAAGTTTATCGCATCTTCCTGAAGCTACACTTGTAGTGACTGGACCTCCAACTAAATTGGCCACGATATCTGTCGCATAAACGATTTTCAACACAGTACTTGGTGGAACATATTTTTTATATGATGTCGTAATTCCATCAGAAGTTGTACAGTATGTAACAAAAGTCTTTGCACAAATTTAAACATTCATTAGTTCACAACGGTTGCACGAAATCACGTGTTTA